CATACTATAATCTGTATTTGCACCAGTCCCATGTGAAAATGACATCTGTCTGAATCTGTAGACCACATTTCATGAATGTAGCAGCACCATTTAAATGTTTTCATAACACAAAATATAAGTGAGGAGCATATAGGGTTACAGTCAGACGTGCCACATAAGAAACATGGTCTTCTATATGTGTCCATGTTTATTTTATATTTTATTGTGTCAGCTCGAAACCATACAGCCATGTAGTATAGTCGAACAGGAATGTGCATGGCGAATCAAATCCCAAACAATCCATGAACCAATCAATAAGTGACACGTCTTGACTGCACTTCATTTTCTTGACCACTAGATGTCCTACTCGAGCACTGTGTCATTGAGGCCTCGAGTAATGAACCATTTGTGTGAACACTGTGTCGAAGCTTCAACAAAGCCTCATTGGCCATCACTACCTGAAATAGGGGAGAAAGAATCACGAGTGTGATTCACGGTGTTTCGCCATTGCAGTCTTTTATTGCAATGAGGAGAAACAGCGCGATCCCCCCCTTAGTGGTGGGTGAAACCAATATCAATCGATTACAGAGTAAGGCTTATTAGCTGATTCCCAATGTATTCGATTACCGTTACCTCAAACCAATTAGTACACAATATGATAACATGAAACAAACACCTTAAACTTTTAACTGGTTTTAACCTTTTACCTTGTTTTAGGTTTTAAATGCCCCACTTTATGAAATTATCTTATGGAGGTACATAGTGCTATCTATACATATTACACTAATACTGCTGCAGTGGAAGAACAGCAGCAGCAGAAACATACAGGCTATCAGCTGGAGTGTAGTGGTTACCGAAGAGGGAAATTTACACATGAATACTTTAACATTAAACTAGTATAAATCTTGTAGGTTTTTAATGATGTATATGTTTTACACATAAAGCTCAATAAAAACTTGAAGGACCGAATCTCCTGTTGTAGAAGCAGGATGTCTTATTAATGTCCTTGGATCATCAAAAGCACAGCCATGGATTCAATTTGAATGAACAAAATCTACATATTCATCCTCATGGACTCATTTTTTTAGGTAGCACTTTAGCTCTAATAGTTTGGGCTCAATTCCAGTCTTATTGTCAGGTTTTTACAAATTCCAGTCTGCTGATTTGTCCCATAGATAATGAAAAATCATGTACCAGTAGCATGCATACAAATCCAGTAAGGGCTGAACAGCAAACTAATGGATTAAAGTATGGGCGCTCCTGCTGCACAACACTCCATGATGTAAATTTAATGCCACCATATGCTGATGTTTGCAAGCAGCAGTGCTGATTAAATGATTTGCTTTTATCTGATGAAGAACCGAAGGTTTTGCACCATTTGTTATTTTGCAGCATGCTATCTATCTCTTCCTGATAAAATAAGCCACATTAATACAGTGCAGCGACTATTCTCTGCCCCTGTGCTGTGTGTTGTTTATGAGATGTTTTAATTGTAAATAGAAACATGAGTGTACCAGAATCAATCTATTAAGGCAGGAAATTATGAATTATGAAATGAAATTAAACTACTTTCACTCTCACCCACACAGATGGGGAGAAACAACAAACACTGAGTGCACAAACACAGGGTTTGTAGGAAAACATTAATGTCCCAGCAGAATACACACATAACTACTTGATTGCCCTCAAGGGGTGTAATATTTTATGCTTTAATTTCAGATAGCAAGTAAGCATATCCTGTTACAAGCCATTACAAGGGTTTAATGCTAGGTGCTGTGTTGGGGGATGGTGTTTGTTATGCTTGCATTTTATATCTTCTTAGGATTTAACTGTTTGAGATGGGATGAAAAGATTTGTACTATTTTGGTTTCTTGTCTGGCAAAATTTACTCACATAATGAGAAGTCCTAAATTAAAAATAACATCTTATTTCTCTTTTGTAAAGGCTGATTCAGAAGTTGGAGTAAATGTTAGAGAGAAATGAAGTAGATGCAACTAACTGCTTTTCCTCACTGTGCCTGGTGTAATACACTTTATTTTGGATGTGATTCCTTTGGATGTACTCACCACTGTGGGTGCTGGACAGAAGCATTAGTTTCTTGCACAGATTCTGGGCTCTTGTTCATACTCTTGCCAGTCAGAGAGTTGGTGCAGCTCTGGTTTTTTTTGGTTGTAATACAAACATATAAGATGCCAGAAACAATGTTGGGTCATTACTCATCACACCCTACTGAGCTCTGGGCAGAAAAAGACAGCACACAGAAATGTGCCAGTCAATAAAAGCCAGACTGTTGTTACGCCACTAGACCAGGATAATTCTTCCTCCGCCACCGCTTCATCCACATCTATACAGGAGGTGTTCAGACACAGTACAGAGTTTAAGCCACTTGTGTTTTGAAAGCACTCAGAGCCATTTACACAGTCACATTACACCTGTAAAATGTAGAAATGTAAAAATATAGTGCAAGCAAAACATGAGCCATTATGGCACCTTCTTATCAAATCTTTGTTTTTTGTGAAATTTTGGAGTTTTTATCACCATGAGAACAGCAAATGAAATCATCTAAGATGTCTAACCCAAGACTCTCCTCCCATCAGTTGATTCAGCAAGCCGCCCGAATTACATATAATATAACTGACCTTCAAGTGACAAAGCCCCCTGGCACCCATGGTAATTATGACAGGAGTAAAGGCAGTCGGGTGACGCTGTTATAAAGTGACAAAGTCCAGGCAGAGGAGAGGTCAGGGTGAATAAAATGTTGGACTGTAACACAGGAAGCATTTCCACTTTCAATGCAACACTTAGCAATGTTTTTGTCTGAAGCATGACCACAATCGTTCCCTATCCTTAACCACATGGTTATTGTAATCATGACAACGCTCCCTTAACCGTAATGAAGTACTTCTTTTAACCCAAATCCCAACCACAAGCTAAAATTGTTAGAAATCTTAGCAATACATTGCACTTATCATATGTCTTAACATAAAATATTAATGTTTTAAATGAAGAAGTAAAGTACAGTTACTTCAAAATTGTACTCAACAATTTAACGTAATGTACTTGTTCTTGCGTAAATGTACTGTACTTGGTTTCTTCCCACCACTGAGAGAAGCGCTTCCATTTTATTTAAAGGATTTAAAGTTGAAATGATCTGTAACTTGCAAAAAAACATGTTTTGGGGGTCAGTAAATGTTGCTTACAGGGTGATGATATTCATTTGTGACATCCTCATTTCATATCCTCGCCAGTTGGGCATGCCTCAGTTTTGAGGTGTAATATAGACCTGCCAAATCAGTGGTAGCCCCATTACTCATCCCCCTCTGTGCTGTCTCCTGGCTTGTGCTCCGGCGCTAATGCAGATTACAGGGATATATGAGGGCTATTTTGTTCGCTGCAGGGTGGAAACGATCACAGGCAACCCTATCCCTCTTTGATGCACGACTCTACATCTGTTCCCCCATGAAAGCCTATCTGGAAATCCATCAGAGCCAAGCCCTTATCAGATCTGAGACTGCTACATTTATTGAACATCAATTATAGATGCTATGTGTAAAATCAACGCTCACTCTTGATCCTCTGAGACATTGTTTGGTCAAGTGATTAGTGGCTTTACTTTAGATTCAGTTTGTGCACATTATAAGTGTTAAATGGACCAGTTATGATACATGAGTACATAAACACAAGGGACTCCAGCGAAGGAGAATAAAGTCTAACTATGAGTGGTTTTGCCATAATGATAATGTGACTTTTTGCACAGGGTAACTCCTTAAAAGAAAAGAGAATTAATCACAGATATCTAAACTTTTTCATGATATATCAGAGCCTTGGTGGTCTGCGCTTGTGGGATTTGTGCAGGTGGAAATTCACAGACTTGTAAAGCGCATTCCTCATAATCGATACACCCATTTTTATCCTACTGCAACACAATCCAAGGTGATAAATGAGCCAAGTTGCATTATTCATAGCCGAAAATCACTCGTAACTTTAATTCATTTCCAGCTTGCTCCCTGACAGAGAACACAGACATATTATTCAAATTTCTTTCTCTTCTGTGACCATGACATGTCCAAAATCACACATTTAATCTTTATGCAAGTCTCTCCTCATGTTTTTGGGTAAATAGACCATTCATCATATTATGGGGCTTTTACAGCTTGACTGTTTGAGAGATCTGTCTCTCAAACAGCTTCTCTCTCTGGCAGTCCAATCAATCATTTTTCAATGAAGATGTCACAGCTCATTGTGTGGAGTGTTATCCCAAAACACTTTCCACAGCCTTTTAGATGATAAATTAAAAGCTAAACTTTTTTCTTGTTGTTTATAAGGGCAATCTTCTCTCTCCAAAATGTCTAGGTACAACATTCTTACTGTGGCATGTGGAGTATTTCCATGGTTTCAGTGCTGAACTCACCTGCTGCCACTGATGCCTTGATAGAGATATTAGCAAGCGCAGGAATGTCTATTAACTTTTCATTAAGTTTAAAGAAGTAGTTGCTGCTCAACAAGGGACATAATTGGTTTGTCATTAATGGATGTTTCAAGCTGTAAGTTGTGGGCGTGAACTCTGAGACTTCATACTTCTCAGGAAGAAGCTTTTTTAAGATTGACAGCTGATGAGCCACAAGCCAGAAATGTCTTCCAGGGTGTGTTTATTATTAGAGGTAGTCAGCAAACTAAATATAATGACCCTTAATTCAATAATGAAGCCATAGGATTGACTCGTTAAATGCAGCAAAGAGTCGCTGTGGGCTAATAAGGATCTGCTCTGCAGTTTAAATGTTTTACTCCCACATCTCACGACTTCTCTCTCCTCTCTTCTGTGTTCGATGCAGGATCCTTCAGGAGCTGATGCGGAGACCTGCGACACCAGGAGCCTGAATGCTGATGTCAGCTTTTATCTGATAAAAAGATGTGTACTACATAACACAGAGCAGACAAAGGATACAGGGAAGACATGAACACATGTGTACACTTGAATCATTGCTATTCCTGCTCCTTGTATTTAGGTCAGTTCTTTTCCTCACTGCCAGTCATAGTATTTGGTAGACAACAGAATGCTGTCATCTGCAGCTGCAGTAATTTAAATAAATGCAGTATTACAGTACTAGTTAATTGTATAGTAGTAATGCACTGCAGTTATTAACATGGTATTCAGACCCTATGCTCAAGTTAAAGCAGTTATATTAAAATATACAAATACTTAAGTAAAAGTACATTAATTGCAAAATGTACTTAAAGTATGACAAGTAAAAGTACTCACAGCAGAATATGGTTTTGTTGAATTTTATGATATTTATATATCAAATTATTAAATTATAACTAGCAAGCAGCATTTAATTCACATATTAGGTAGTTTCAGGTGGTTTAATCCATAATATAACTTCCAATTTTATACAAGTATTTATTTTTGTTATGTAAAATCTTAATTTGCAGATCAAATACTATTTACAGCTGCCAGATAAATGCAGTAAGGGCTGAAATTACAATGTTATTTCCCTAGTGCAGTCAAAAAACAAAGTAATATAAAATGGAAATGGCAAAGCAAAGTCCCTCGAGATCCTTTTCTACTAAAATCTATCAAATATATGTAGACTAAAAAGCCCTCAATTTCTACATTTTAATCCTTCGTTGAAGGTTAATATTTCAATAACACGATAATGACTATTCAAATTATGTTTTGCCAGTGTTTATCTCTAGTTGAATACAGAACATAATGGCCTGTTTTATTAGGAGGAACTGCACTTTTTCCACTTGTAAAACTGAGTGCATAGAAATCTAGCCTTTCTGCAGTCTAATCAGTAGGATTAAATGTAATCTGTTACCTCACTACTCACGCCTCATCTCTTGAGGATTTGGTATGTCTTCCCTGGTATGTCAGCCCCCAACACTACCTCCTCCTCTTGCACCTCCACCTCCCCATCCTCATTGCACCACAGTTGCATTATTAAACTTGTATAAGATCATTAGCATACAAAGCAGGAAATCTACCACGGTGGAGTCATACATATTTATTTGGACGTGCCTGAATTGTGCATGCATACATTCATACTGTAACCCGTTTTACACATAAGTGTGACTGGGTTTCTATTGCAGGAGCTGTGAACAGAGACTAGAAGTGGATATTTGTAGGAGCATGTCTGTCTGCTGAAACACAGTTTTGCTTTTTGCCTTAAACTACACATTAAGAGATGTGCAGCTGTCTGTTAGACAAAGAAAATGCATGTATTTGGAAACAGAGCAGATGGCGTTTGGTTAGGTTCATGGGAGCAGTTTGCTTCAAGCATATCAAATATAGTTTACTCACAGAGGAATTTCAGTCTAGTTATGCCTGCAATACATATTCATCTGCTGCTCATAATCAAACAGAGACAGACGAAACAGAGAGCATGGTCCTGTAAATACTGTATGTGTATCACCTGTGGGTTGCCTCAGCCTTTTGAATGACTGTGAAATTGACTCCTTTTCTCGCTCCTTCCCTTGTTCCCTTCCTCTTCAAAATCCATTTTCCTATCCTCACTTTCCTACCCTCATGTGAATCACTTTGTACACTTTTCCTTCTTTTCCTCAACCTTCTGGCTGCGAGCACAAGCCTTCCTTTTTTCTTTTCCTTTTGGTGCCGTGGAGTCCTCTGTTAATATTCCTTCCTCCTTGCTTCTTTTTCTTCCCTCCTGTGAGATTGCTGTTGTGTCTTATGGCTTTTTATTCCTACGTGATGGTAGATGGGTTCATGTAGGAGTAGAAGCCACTAAACACGCGGTGAGTGCTCAACGCGCTGGCCAACACACACTGTGAGCTTTCTGTGGATATGAGAGCTGCCATGTTCACATCAGTGTCCTGCCCATTATCAAGAATACGCACGCAGCAAAAATATACAGGATAATCAGTGCAGAGGGGTTATTGTTCCAGGTTATCTTTTTATACCAGATTTGTAGCGTGAACAATCTTTTCAAATGATGTAATTAAACCTACATTATACTTGCTTGAACAATTGGTTTTAACACAATTGAGCTGAGTCAATTTGATAAATCTGACCAAATCTTTAATTGTGAACAGGCCTACTTTTCCCATCTGCATGCTGGTTGCATGTGCCCTGAATTTCAAACTGATTTCTGCATTTCTCTGCCTCGGGATCTTTGTACGAAACTTTTGCTGGAAAGTTCCCAAAATAGATATCGGGAGGAGCGGATGCCACAAATGAAACTACCTCTAGAGATAGGTCATCAGTGATATTTAATAATGTAGAGTATCTTTTGTCCTATGAAGTTAAGGTGAGAACATACTGCACACTGAAAGCTGTTAAAGAATACTGTGAAATGTTTCTGTCTGATTGATCTCACACCTCAAGAAGTGTGAACATAAACATTCCATTGCAAAGTACCTCCACATCTGACTTAAAGGATAAGGTAGGTCATTTTCTATACTTATAGTATTTTCAACAGTCCCCATACAGAAACTAAAACCAACAGTGAATTGCCTCTACTTGCAGGTAATGTCTGTTAGTCTCCACCCTGGTTTTGCTTATTCGTCTGTACCACAAACCTCCGTTGTTGTTAAAAAATGATTAAAATCACATCAGTGAATCACACCATTGCACTGGGTGATATATTTGTTACCTGAAAAACACAATACCTGCATATTTGTTATAAATGTTGCTCCAAAGTTTTTACAGCATCTGAACTGCACATGCGAGCTCTGCTTTGTTTACAACGTGCCAGCACCTCATTTTGAATCATGTTGTTTTTGCTTCTGGAACTAAACCTGTACATTCAGAATTCACTTTTGATATTGAATAATAAAGAATGATTACAAAAACTATATACTGTCTGAGAACTGTGAATGTCTGTACCAAATTTCATGCCAATCCATCAGGTGAGTGTTGAGATTTTTCAGTTTAGACCAAAGTGGTAGAGCAAGGCTGCCCCTCCTATGGTTGTACCAGTACCATATTATTAAAAATCACACACTGGACATGCATGGTTTTCACAGGACAGCAGTTAATGGCACTATTTTGTTAATTCTGCATTTGTTTTTGTTTTGAGCATTTAGTTCACAGATGCTTTTTGTAAGGGCTCTCCAATAAAGATTACATTTTCTCTTGAGTTACTCTGCCCTTTAAAATTTTTTAGCACCAGCCTGAAAACTATAACTCATCTCAGTGAAAGCCCCTTAAATGCCTGTCCAGTCACAAATTAGGTCCAAGACATTTAGGTCAGCTCAAAATGGCTAATAATGCTATTTATCTGTGGTAAAGCTAAACCTAATGTCAACCAATTAAGTAAGATACTGAGATGATCCTGCTGCTGGGTCCATTTGGGTGCTGTGGGGTTTTGGTGTAAATGTCAACCTCCTGTTTGTGTTTGCTGCAAAAAAAAGCCTCCTCCTGAACAGATTCGAATTAAATGGGTTGTTGTTGGAAACCAAAAACCTGAATTATTAATCCCTCGATATTACAAGATTCTGACACATACTTGCAACAGAGTGATGTTACTTTTTGCACTGATATGTGGTGGATAATTATTCAAGATGAAATTGCAATATGGTCTGCTGAGGTTTAATGATTTATTCAAGGCTGCAAGTTGTTATGATCTAATATTCAGTGGGTGGGACTGGAAGTTTCTTTTGCTTGCATTATCAGTTTAAATTTTTTTTTTCAGGTTCCCATTCCTATGTAGTTTTTTCTTCTTTATAGAGACATGGGGAAGTCTGAAGGAATAGTAGAGCAGGGGAGACACATTAGAGGAGACTGAGAGAGGATTTGATCCTGGACCAGTGGGGGTCTATGGGAATCTGAAGGTGGGAGTCAAACATCATAGCATCTATGAGAAAGAGCCTACATTATTTAAAACACCACTGGTATATGAAGGGGATGTTGTTTTTAATAGACTCTGTTTTGCCTGAGAGTGGCTATGCTTTTTTTTTACTGTGTTCCTCAGCTATGATCTGACTGCACAGTAAACCTCACATGACCAAAATGTCAAAACCGTTGGTGAAAAAAGACGACATAGCCTCACTTTGACAGCTGTCAGTTTTTTAAATTATGCAAGGGTTTTCATGAGTCCTGTGGATATGATCAAGATATACAAGGTCACTTAAACCTCAAGTTCAGGGGAAAACGTGGAAATTGTGAGAACTGGAGTAATGGGATTTTCATCTGACAGCTGCAACAATGTGGTGTGTTTGTGTACAGTAGGTTTAATGTACAAGTGTTATTCTACTGTATCCACCCCCCTCAGGCTACACTTTGATTTTTCTGTAATAAATAATGCTCTTTTGTGTTCTGTGCTTCATTTGTTCCATGTTGTAACATCAGCGCTGCTCAATAAATTATGAATTATGCCTGTTCAACCTGCCGCTTCTCTCTCATTTCATTTGTCTGTCAAACTCTTTTTCTTTTTTGTTTTTTGCCACACAAATGGATGACCCAGATGTATGCACAAACACGCTCGAGGCCACAGGAGATTTGATAAAAACGGATAAAGTCGACACAAGAGGCAGACTGGTTTATGTGCAC